GGCCAACGTGGTCAGCGCTGGCTTCGCAGCCGACTCCCCGCGCGCCAAGCTTGAAACCGTCGCGGCGTCCTTCTGGGCGACCTTTCGCGCCGCGAGGTCGATGCCTCGTCTTGGGCGCAAGAGAATATCCACCCCCACCCCGCCCGCGCGCTGGACCTCCCCCTGCTGGGCCGCGGCGCAGCGCCAGGCGCGGGAGACGCATTGCTTCGACGCTAAACCGCGGTCCGAAGGGAGGCAGTTGGTCAGCGATGCGCGCGCGCAAATCAAAGCGCCGACCCCGGCCTTACACCGGAATTCCCGCCTCTCGCCGCCGCCGCGCACCGTCCGGCACTGCTGGGGCCCCCTTCCGGCACGCGACGAACGCCTGGATGCACTCGCCATCGCTGGGCAGCGGGGGCGGCGGGACGTCTCGCCGACGCCTCTCGACCGGGCGCCGCGCTTCGTCGATCGCCCGCCGCGCCCCCTCGCTCAGCCTGGCCTGGCAAGCGGGCCGCCCGCAAGACCTGAGCACGCCATCTTCGCGATGTCGCAGTCATCGTCGTGCGTGTCGCAGAGGGCCTTCCCTTTCATCCTCTCCTGAGCCGCGAAGACGATCTCGGCGAGGCCCGCGGCGTCGGCGGCCCTCGCGGCGAGCCCCATCCAGCTGTTCGGTCGCCCTTCTGTCGCAGGTAGCCCCGCCCCAAACTCAAGTTCCAGGGTCGCGGCTGCCGCGGCGCAGCGCGCCCCTGCAGCGCGCCCGACCCCCCCCGCTGCCGCCCCTCTGCGTTCCGGGCCCTCGTCGGCTGAATGAGCGTCGCTATTTTCTGATGATCTAGCCGCGGGAGCGGGGGCGAGGCGGGCGCCCCCGGCATGATGTCCCTGCGCCTTCTGGGCTGACGATGTCCGACAACACCGCGCCCCCGCTTTCCTCTTCGCCCCCATGCCCCTCCCTGAGCTGGCGACCCCTCGGGCCGGGCTGTCGACGCCCCGGCCGGGTCTGGAATTGGACGACAGGGGCCGCTCGGAGCTGCCTCGCCCCGACGTCGAGCCTGCTGCTGGCCTGGCGGGTCGCCTCCGGACGCGCCTCCGCCCACCCCCCAAGCTCCTAGCCTGGGGGCCGCTCGGCCCCCCTGGGCCCCTCCTCAATCTCGCTGAGCTTCGCCCGCCGCAGCTCCAGATGGCCGCCCGACAGCTGCTCCGACGGGGCTGCGAGACCGATCGGGCGCCGAAGAATCAGCTCGCACTGCGCGGCGCGAGGCGGGCGCTGCCCCCCTGCATCCGGACCTCGGCCCTTGCGCCTGCGCGCGCGCAGGCCGGTCGCCGATCGGGGTGGCGCCCAGGAACTCCGCTATTTTCTCAGCTTTTGAACCCGGCATCGCCGGGGGCTGCCGCGCGCGGACCACGGTCGCGAGGTACCGCAGAAACCGTGCTACTGACGGGATTTGCCCCCCCCATCGACCGCCAGCCGCAGAAGCTGCCCAGGGTATCGGCGAGCGAAGGGCGCAATATCCTCGCCCGCCCGAGGAAGAGCCCGGCGAAAACTCTACCTCTCGTCGGTCGCATCCCCCTCGCCCATCACCGGCGGCGATGGCTTGCGCGCCGCCCCCACGGCCTCGGACGTGCACCATCCTCTGAAGTGGCCTCTCGCGCCTCCATGCGCGCTCGGCCCTCTCGGCGAGCACTTCGCCGACCGTCGCGCCGTCGGCGCCGCTGCCTCCTCGACTCGGCCCGCCAGCTCGGGCGCGCCACTCCACTCTCCTGCGTGAGCTCCGCCAGCTTCTTCTCGAAATCGGGCCGCCTGGCCTCGGGGGAAGGCAAAGCCGGCGGCGGTGGCGGGGCCCGCTCAGCTTCGTCGCCATCGAAGAGGCACGCACCGCCCGCGGGGTCTGCCTTCGGGGAATCGCCTCTCCCATTAGGCGGCGGCGCCGCGGTCCGATGCTTCGGTTTCAAGTCGGGCCGCGGGCGGCGCGATCGACGCGCGCCAGCTCGCGGCCCGCGCTGGGGCACTCAACCGCGCCGCCTCCGGCGACCTCGTCGAAGACGCGGGGGGGCCTTGGCCCTTGACCTCGCGCGGGAGGCGGCGAATGCACGCGGCGCCTGCGCCCTCGACAACGGCGAGGAAGACGCCTCGACGCAGGCGCCGGCCGTCCTTCCCGTCAGCGCTGAAGGCTCTGCCTCCGCCCCAACGAACGGCGGACGTTCGCCTCGCCGCGGGCCTCGATCACATCGCCACTCTTGACGACCGCGAGCGGGGCGCACCGCCCTCGTCGCCGACTGCCGCCCTGGGTCGGCCCTGGCCCAGTCCGCCAGGCGCCACTGCGCCTGCGCGCCCGCCTTTTGCCCCGCGGGGCGACCAACACTTCAAGAGGCGGGCCCGGGAATTTGGGTTTAGCACAGCGGCGCCCCCCTGCCACGGCTCAGCCTGCCCGCCGGGCTGGGGGGTTATCGCCCGCCACGCGCCGCCTCGGCAGCCCTGAGTCGCAGGCACGCCGCTACTGCAAGACCACCGTGGCGGGTCAAGGACGGGGGCGGCGTCGCGCAGAGTCGTGCCACCTGATACCAAACAGCTGCAGAGAAGCCGTCGCGCTAATCGTTGCTCCCCCGCCATACTCCCGCACGCTGAGCTGTACATTCAACATGATCGTCAGCACCACCAATAGCATTATCATCATCAGCATCATCATCATCATCAGCAGCAGCATCATCATCACCATCACCACCATCTTAATCACCATCATCACCACCATCAGCATCATGATCATACTCATGAGCATCATCATGGCTGTCATCATCATCATCATCATCATCAGCAGCAGCATCATCACCACCAGCATCAGTACCGTGATCAGCATCACCATCATCATCATCATCATCATCATCATCATCATCATCATCATCATCATCATCTTCATCATATTCATCAGCATCGTCATCATCATCATGATCACCATCACCATCATCATCATCAGCGTCCCCATTATCGTCGTCAGCAGCATCGACCTCATCATCGTGAACAACATCATCATCAGCGTCATCACCAGTATCAGTACCATCATCATCATAATCATCATCATCATCATCATCATCATCATCATCATCGGCATCGCCTTCATCATCGTCATCATCATGCTCTTACTCCTCCTCCGCATCCTCATCGTCATCGTCGTCATCACCGTCCTCCTCATCACCATGATCAGCCTCCTCATCGTCCTCATCACCACCACCACCATCACCCTCACCACCGTCATCACCATCGTAATCGTCATCGTCATCGTCATCGTCATCGTCATCATCATCGTCATCATCAACATCATCATCAGCAGCATCTCACCGACCATCACCATCACCATCACCACCACCACCACAACCATCATCAACATCACCATCATCATAATCATCATCAGCATCAACACAGCACAAGCAGCAGCATCAGCATCAGCATCAGCATCAGCACCAGCACCAGCACCAGCACCAGCACCATCATCATCATCATCATCATCATCATCATCATCATCATCATCATCATCATCAGCATCAGCATCATCATCAAACTCAGCATAATTACTCCTCATCCTCATCTTCATCTTCATCGTCATCGTCATCATCCTCATCCTCATCGCCGTCGCACTTCGTCCTCCTCCTCATCCTCGCCATCCTCAACCTCGTCATCCTCAACCTCAGCACGATGAGGGGCCCGGGGATCGATCCCGAGCCAATGCCGGCAGCGCCGTGCTGCCTCGGCGCGGCAGCGGCGCGGGTGCGGGTGCTCGAGGCTGGGCGCCCTCCGAGGGCCGCTGGACGGGCCGCGGGGCCCCACCGTCCCCGCCGCACCACTCTGCGACTGACCGCGACGGAGAAGCTCGGGCGTCCTCGACCCCGGAGACCTGGGCGGTGCTACTCCAGATTTCGTAATAAAAGGGTGGGGGTCTGGACCCTCCAAGACAAGCCATTTCAGACCTCCCCCGTGGGAGAACCCTCCAAAACATCGTCCCCAGACCCCCCAGGCCCTCCAAGATAGCCTGGAAGAGACCCCCCCCCGAAATGAGACCCCCCTCCCTTTATTACGAAATCTGGAGTATTTTTTCCCGCCCGACGTTTTCACTCGGTTTTGGGCCCCGGGGCCATCACAGCTCGAGCCGACTCGGGACAGGGCGCTCTGGTCACGAGGCTTTGGGGCTTTGCACCTTTTCTGGCAGCGTCGGACGTCGGAAAGGCCAGGGAGGGCCGAGGAGGAGAACCTTCCCTCCACCTTCAAGCTTCACGATCTGGTCATCGCTCGGACGTCCATTCCCTGTGCTTTGTTCCGTTTCGTGCGTGATTTTTTCGCAGGATGATCCAGGATGCTCCTTCATAATCCCCGCCGAGAAAAACTGCACGCGTCCGAGCGATACCAAGCGACGCAAACCGTTCTGTTCTAGCGGACCTGGGGCACTCCCGAGACTCCCTCCCCCTCCCCCTCGGCCTCCACGGCCTCCCTTCATTGGCTCCGCGACTCGCCCCCCGTCCCCCCCTCCCCGCCTCCTCCCCCATCCCGCCCAGCCCGTCGATGGCGTCGGTGGAAAGACTTCCCCTCTTCTCTAGGGTGGGAACTCCTGGCAGACGTCTCAACGGGGAGGAGGACGGAAGAGAAGGGAGAGGTCGAGAGGATCGAGGAGGAGGCTCCCCCTCTCTTCCCTCCTCCCGTCCTCCTTCCTCCTCATCGTCCTCCACGCTCTCTTCCCTCCTCGGTATCCTCCTCGTCCTTCGGACCCACCCCCTCGTCGTCCTCGCGCCCCCTCCCCCTTCTTCGTCCTTCCGCTCGTCCTCCTCCTCTCCCTCCTCCTCCTCCTCCTCCTCCTCCTCCTCCTCCTCCTCCTCCTCCTCCTCCTCCTCCTCCCTCCTCCTCGTCTCCGTCGCCGTGTCCTTCCTCCGCCTCCTTCTCTTCCCCCTCCTCCTCCTCCGATCCTCCTCCTCCTTCTCCTCGTCCTCCACCTCTTCCTCATTGTTCTCGTCTCCTGCTTCTCGCCCTCGTTCGCGGGGTCCTGCCGGGCCGCACCGGGGATAACGCTGAACTCCTGCTGGAAGAAGGCGTGCCAGTCCTCATGAGCGAGGCGGAGGCAGGGATCGACGAAGACGATATCGAGAAGGGGCGTTTCTTTCTCATTTCTCTCCTCCTCCTCCTCATCCTCCTCCTCCTCATGATCATCCTCCGCATTATCCTTCTCCTGCCCCCCTCCTCCTACCCCTTCTCCTCCACTTCCTCTCTTCCTCATTTTCGCATCTAGTCCCTCCTCCTCTCGTCCACCTCGTTGTTCCTCTTGCTCATCATGCTCCTCCTCCTTATCCTCCTCTTCCTTCTCACCCTCTACAGGCTCTATTCTCCCTCCTTCGCCTCCTCCACCTCCTCTCATGAGTAATTCCTCATCCCCCTCGTTGTTTCTCCTCCTCGCTCTCCTTCTCCGTCCACCTCCACTTTTCCTCCCTCAATCCGCTCATCCCCCTCCTCCTAGTGCGCCTGCTGCTCCTTCTCCTCCTCCTTCTCCTCCTTCTCGTCTTCTATTCCCCCTCCTTCTCCGCACGTGCCTCGTCCGTGCAGCGGGTCCTCCAACTCCTCTTAATGTTTTTTCGTCCGCTCGTATGTTCCCCCTCATCGCCAATATCTTCTCCTTAGATCTAAGCCATCCCTGCCCCACCACCCGACGAGTCAGTAGGGCGGTGTGGACTTCTTGACCAAAACTTCCTCGCCACTCGTGATCCTGATGCTTGGAGTCTCCGGCAGCTGCAAAGACAACCGGCGGAACCCTTCCAATATTGGGCTTCCGCCTGCGCGCTCCGCGCATTGGTATTCGAAGCTGGTAGAATTTCAAAGACGGAGGGCGGACCCGTTCCAAGATGGGGCTCTCGACTTGCCGCCGCGCGCGTTCGTCTTAACAGCTTGCATCATTTACGAGGTCAGGGGGCGTTTCCTTCTCAAACTTGCGCTCTCGCTTTTCAACGGCTACATGGATAGAGGGCAGCCTGATTGCCGCGCACGGTCGTCGTCGCCGTCGTAAACTTTGCGACGGTCACAAGGGTGGACGACGGCTCCTCAAACCTAGCTCCACCAAGCTCGAGCACATGTAGAAGCTTCATGGAAAGAGGGTCCTTGCTTGAAACATCCTTGTTTTGAGCGACCAAATGTGTAAACTTGTGAAACCATCAAAAAGATGGGGGGGCGGTTCCTGCGGTTCCTTCTTGTTCCTTTTCGCAGAGAGGTGACCCTCGCTGGATATTACTTTGAACCGTGTGATCCTGCCTTTTTCGTATTCTCTTGAACTCGCCAGAAGGATGCAAAGCAGTTCCTTTTCAAAGCGGGGCTTTCTGAATCATTGGCCCATAGGGCGCTCGTCTTGTGAGGAGGGGGTTCTTGTATGAGGAAAGAACTTGGTACGAAAGGGTGTCTTGCAACATCGTTGGCGCATCCGGGGTTTTCTCTGGTCCTCCTCCTGCCCCCATGTCGTTCTTCTCCTGTGATCCTGTGACCCTCTGGCGCAGCAGTCAGGCTCTCGAAGGCCACAAAGCGCCACGCCGTCAAGGGGGCAAACGGGAAAGGACGAACGGGGAAGCCAGGATGATCCTGCGCAGGCCACTCCTGCTTCTACCCGTTCCTGCTCCTCCGTAGGCCGCTCCCAAAAAAGTCAATACTGGAGGGAAAATGGGCCGCCTCCCTGGATGAGGAGGGCTCTGGGAGGGCATGGGGGGGCGAGAAGGACAGGACGAATCAGGAGCACAAAGGGGGCACGAGCAGGGAGGAGCAGGAGGGAGGAAGACGATGAGGGCCAGAAGGGGACGGAGGAGGACAACGAAAAGGGGAAAGAAAACGTATAGGCGGAGGGTAAGGATAGGAGAATGATAGGGGAGAATGTAGCCACAGTTTCTCCTGCGTGTCCTGATAATCCCGCAGTCGACCCTCTTCCTTTTCCTCATGATCCTCCTCCTTCTCATTTCCCTTGTTCTGCTCCTGGTCCATGTTGTCCGCCTCTTCCTCCACCTCCTCCTCTACCTCCTCCTCCCCCGCATGCCCTACCACACGCAGAGGCAGACCGTGCATTGAGCCGCGCAGGGCCGCCGAGGTGTTAGAAGACTGGCAATTCGATGCTCGAACGGCGGGACGAACGGACGAATATTGTCGAGTCGCGCTGGGTGGGGGGAGTGGGGGGCGTGTGGGCTCGTAAAATAATGTTCGTTGTGTTATGAATACACACATATGTTCTGCACGCGGGGATGCGAATCTGATACATCCAGTCACACGCGGGCTGTGCTCCGGTATTTCAATCGAACTCTGATCTGGCAATAACCGTTCGTCGTCCATGTTTTTCTCTCGTGGGATAGAATCGACAGCACTGGTGCCTGCTCGTGAACGGGCCGAAAAGTCCTGAGCCTTAAGGCCGCGGAGGGAGCATATGTAAACATTCCTCCCTGCTGAACGGTCCCTGTTCGACCTCCAGCCTTCAGAGCGAAAGGTTCAATCGACTCATCCATCCGCGGCACCACTTGCACTGCCGCTTCGCCACCACCACTCTCGTGTTTTCCAACCCACCACAGTTCCTCCTCGCGTGGTAGCACTCGCCCTCGGGGATGACGTACACCAGTGGTCTTTTGTCAGGGCCCCGTGGGCTGCGCATCTCGCGCGTGGCATCGATCCGCTGAAGTCCTTGCCCAGCAGTCGTTGGTGGCAAGGCAGACAAGCGCCCCTGTCGTCGCCCATGTCGCTGTCGTTGCCGCGGCTGCTGCTCGAAAGTCATCGCCCCGCCTCCGTCGCCGGCCTCGGCCCGCGGCCCATCGCTATCCCAAGCCACGGGCCCAGCAGCAAAACGCGCAGTGCACGTGATCATCGCCCACAGCAGCTACTCGTCGACAGCCCCCCCGTCTTGCGCTCTCACGGCGCGCGCCTGGCCCGCCCAGATCTGCGATGCAAGCGGCGGACAGAACTTGCTGATCTCGCTCGCGTCGACCTCGGGCCGCGGCGCGCGCTCGGCTCGCCCGTCGCGCCCCTCGAAGCCCAAACCCTTCATCGGCGTCTGGATCCGCGGCTTCGCCAGGTACGTTGCAAAGAGGTCCGCCAGGTTCTTCGCAGTGCTTCTTCGCCGGCACGACGTCCCCTGACTGGGCTCGACCTGTCAGGCGCCGATATTGCGCGCTCATGTGCCTCGCATTGCCGAGCCCGCGACGCGCGGCCATGCCGCGCGCTGCCGCTGGGCCCTCTCCCCGCCCAGGTCGACCCTCGCGCCGGGGTCCTCGCGCAGCGTCTTCGCCTCCAGCGCCTCGGAGCTGGCTCGCGCCAGAGCGCAGCGCTCGCTCTCGCCGCCGCTCGTAGCCGCGACATTCTGCGCGCTGGTCAAAGCGCCCAGGCAGCGCAAACCCCGGCATCGCGGCGCCTCCCTACGTCGAGGGTCGGGTGACCACGCAGCCAGCGCGGTCCGCGTCCCAGTAGACGGCCGCGTGAGTCTGCTGGTCCTGCCGCACGAACAGCTGCCTCACGTGTCCGACTCCTTTCAGGTAGCGCCCGGCGCACTTGAGTCGCCCTGGGCGCGCGCCCAGGGGCTGCGCCATTCCGCGGCAGCACGCCCCGCCGCGAAGCACAGGTCGGGGCGGTCCTGCGCGAAGTAATTCGCGCGAGGGGCCACTCGGCGGCCGGCCGTCTCCGCCTCCGTCGGCATCGCCTTCGCCGCCAACCTATTCTCCTCCGTCGAGCGCCCCTCTGGAGTCGCCGCCGCCTTCGCGCCGGCCAGACCCAGCCCGGCCGACGGCTGCTCCATCTGACGCGGGCCCGCCCCCTGCAGACGCCGACGTTGGCCCAGCCCCTGTTCAGCAGCGCGCCCAGCTTGTCGTCGCCAGGGTCGGGCCCCAGTTTGCGCTTCACATCCAGGTCGAACTCGCCCTCGGCCTCTCCATGGCCAACTCCATCGGCTCGACCTCCATCTCGAACATCCGGTCGCCCCAGTGTCCGCAGGCCCTAACTTCCACCTCGCCCTGGTAGAACACCGCGGGGTGGGCCCCGCCGCTCGCCATGCCCACGGTCGCCCCCATGCCACATCTAAGCTCGGCTTGGAAATCGCCGGCGGCGCTGAGCGCGCCGCGCGTCGCCTCCCTGCGCCCCCGGCGCCTCTCAGGCGCGGGGGCTTCGCGCGCGCGGGCTCACTGGTCCGAGCGTGGAAGAGTTCTCGCTTCATGCCTATGATGTAAATATTTCTCGCGCCTCAACCCGCGCGCCTCGTCGCGGCGCCGCTGCGCGGGGGCCCGAACGCCGCCGCCGGCGGCGGCGGGGCGAAGATCGAATCCGCGCCCGCCCTCCTGCGCTGCTTGGCCACCAGCACCGCGCCCGGACGTCCGCGTTGTTCGCGTCACCCTTGTTGGCGACCTCGCAGCGGCTCTGGCGCGGGCCCCGGCCCGCTCCCAGCCGCGCCTCGCCGTCGTCGCGCCCGCCCGCCGCCTCGAAACCTTCTCGCCCACCGCGTGGAGCTGCGCCGCCAGCGCCGCCTCGGGCGGCAGTGGCAGCCCATAGACCTCGCCCCAGTGGTCCGCCTCGCTCGCGCAGTACATTTTGACGATCTCGTCGGAGTCAAGGTCGGGCTCGCCCGCCTTCGCCTGGATGGCCCTCAGCTGCCGCATCTCCTCGTCGCCGAGTGTGGAGCCGCGGTCCGCGGCCGCGTCGACGTCGCTGGGCCTCTGCTTCGTCGCCGCCCTCTCGGCCTGCACCTCCTCGTAGGCCCGCTCAAGCGCATCGCGCTCGAGGTGCTTCTCCTTTCCCGCTGGGTCGTCTATGATCGCATTCGTGGTGCGCGCGCGGCAAGTCCCGTTGCGCGCCGCCTGTGTCGCGCCCTTGGTGGCATCCAGGACGAGTGGGTGTCCTGCCGAGCCGCTCGGGCATCCTCTCGGCGACGTAGCGCCTCCTGCGCGTCGGATGGTTTGCCGCGGGCTCGGCGGCGGCGACCTCCGGATGCTCGACCTCCAGCGGCGCGTCTGTCGCGGCGGGCGGCGTCGCGCACCCCCCCCGCCCAGGCGCCCGTTGCCGCGGCTGACCCCGAAGAGCGAGCGCAGCCGACTCTTTCCCGCGGCC